TCTTCATCACGTCTTGTGTGTGTTGTTTCTCAGGGGAAATCATCAAAATGACGCCCAAACGGTCAAATCAAAAACCACAAAAGTATTACAAATTCGACTGTGTGTTTTAGCGAGTAAATCGAGCGCTTTATCGCGGCTTCGGCAGTGGCTTTTGGTGAAGGAGAAAACATATCTTAATGAGCGACAAAATTTGTAATTTTTTTTCGCGGTCTATGATAAATTAAATACACATTTATTATCTTGTACTTTTGTGGGTAATTTCTTATCAGGCCTCAACACAAACACACACACAAATACACACAAGTGGGGGGAAATTCTCGAGTGGTTCTCGTTTTTACATTTGGCGCCTTCATCGGCACCTTTGGAACATACAAAAGGGGTTGCGAATATTGGAAATGCAGTGACAAAACGCGGTTAATCTTAAGCTTTAATCGGATATTTACGGTTTTACGTTTAAAAATGTGTTAATAATTACCTGATCAATAGCTGAGAGTAGAGAATAACCTTTAAAGTGTCTTTAATCGCTCAATATCAATAATTTCTATTAGAATCTTGTCCTAATTTTTGTATTTAACACAGATTTTTATTTTTCTCTTTAAGTATTTATTCTCAGTCGTTTGCTAAAAGGAATTTAATTAATTTTCTAAGTCTTTTGCGATGTTTTCTTCCTAAAATTCTTTTATATGGTGGTTCAAACAAATCAAAAATGCTCGCTTAAACATCTAAAATCTATAATTATTTCTGACGAGGAGACTTTTGACACTTGGAATACATTTTTCACTCTATATTCCGCAGAAATATTCTAAATGAGTTAATTTAGGTATATTTTCCGTTTATAAAATCTATGGGAGTTATTCCACTCTTTTCTACGAATAAACTGAGCACAAAGAACTGAGCACAGATTTTCTAAATCGCATTTCCACTTAATTTTGGTGTTCAAATTAAGTCAAATCGAAAATCCATCATTTAATTATCAGTATAATTAAATTTGTGTAAAATATTGTTGGACAAATCAGTCGAAGATGCAGGATTTTTCTGCTGTTTTTTCCCACTGAAGCTTGTGGTGACTGACGGCGGCAGCCGCAACTCGAAGACTTTTCTGTAGTCAATTTTTGCAAAGGTTCTAGTGTAATAAATTGGCTTTAATGCTTTAAAAGAGCACCAGAAATTTCCCTAATTGCTCAAAAATTGGCAATTTTTCGTCACTAAATCAGCTGTTTTGTCTTCTTCTCGTCTTCTTGTTGCTTATTACTCATTATCATTGGTTTTTGTGTCCCTCAAGATCTCTATTAACATCCCCTTCGGGAATCACAAGCAGACTCTGTGCTTGAGGCTTTTCCGACACAGTGTGACTATTTGGTTTTGGCAGCCTGTCGCGCGGAGAATGATGGAAAATCGAAGAGCGCGAAGAGGCAGAGCGAGGAGAGTTGCTCGATGGAGGGAAATTGTCTGTGGGCTGGGTTTGATCTAAACACAGGATGTTCATAATTGACCTCGAGAGTCGTCAGTTCAAATTAGCGCGCAGTCCAGTTGGATGGATGGATCGCTGGGTGGATGTTAAAGAGGCCTGATTGTGTGCAATAGCGACTGTGTGTTAATAGAATTCAACAATCTCTCGTATTGTTTCAATGAGACTTGATCACGATGATGCCTCGAATTTCTTCTCTTTCTCTTTCTTTCTCTCTCTCTCGTTCTGTAAGTGTCTTTGACTTCTTGGTCGCAGTTGAGGGAACTTCCGAAGAGGAGCATTTGATGCAATTGTGGTTCCAATTCAATTGTCTTTTTCCCAGTGTTTATTTTCTGGTTTTTGACATTCGGATGTTTTCAACTTCCTTTTCTCGTGTTTTGTGTCTTTGCAATTTTCCCCTGAAAGGCAGTTATTTCGGAACTTAACGAGCTTATGATCTTTTTTGTCTCAGAAAATGGTAGAAGAAGAAAATTGCAAGAACAAGTTGATTATTTGAGAATCAACTGTGGTTGATTTTGCTGAAGATATTTGAGCGATTTCTTGAATTCTATCGACAAAGAATGCGGGGAAAAGACATGGAATTCCTATTAAGACAGTCTCTTTTTCCCTTATAAGGCATTTAACTGGAGAAATATTCAGCAGAGATCACGCAAATTACTTAATCTTCAAAGAAACTCTCCAGAATTTTCTCCATCTTCAGAGTTACGGGTGTCTTTTTGTCTCTCTCTTTCTCTTTCTCTCAATAGAATAGCTGTAATTGCGCAAACTTTTTTGCACACTTCCCGAGGTTCAATTGTGCATAAGTTCCACTGTTCGGTTTCCCCTCTTGTTTGAGGTTTTCTCATGTGTGTTTTTTGTGTGTCTCTTGAAGAAGTTTTTGACGGCGAGAGAACAATTAAAGTTGCAGAGAGAGAGAGAGAGAGAGAGAGAAAAAGGGTTATTGTTTGTCTAATTTGCAAAAAAAGAGCCAAAGACACACTTAACAAGTTGTGCGATTGTTGAATGATATTAAGGGGAGTGCGGGGATAATCTGGAGAGTCTGTTGAGTTAAAGGTTGAAGGAATTTGCATGGAAATTTAACTAAAAGTCAAATTAGAGTTGAAGAAGTGTTTAAACACCTAATAAAAGTCACCAATTATCGCTATGCTTATGTTTTGTGTAAATATACATGGAAAAATTATGTAATTGCGAGAGAAGAACGTAAATTTTAGTCATAAATAAACAAATAACAAACCATGAGATGTCAAAATCTTCATTGAAAGTCAATTCAGTGGTCAAATTAGCCAATAAAGCAGTGATAAATTGTTCAGAAGCTCCGCCCACTCGCACGCTCCGCCCATTGACGATTACTTTCCTTGGTTTTTACGCTATAATTCATAAAAATTTGTCTACTGTTGCTTGATTTCTTGAATTTTGAAGGAAAAGCTTTCAATATCAATGTTCTGATGTTGGATTCTCTGTTCTCTAGAATATTTCCTTCACTCTTGTCTGGATCAATGGCTGTTTTTCTGTGTTCTTTCCCTGACTTTTGAACAATTCCCATTCTCAACTGACGTGTTCTTTTGCATGAGGATTGCGAACGGCGCTGAAGAGAAAGAGAAAGAGAGAGGCAGAGAGAGAGAGAGGCTTTTAACATTGTCTCACTGCCCTTCACACATTGCTGGATTTGTTGCACGATATTTTATTGCGCCCGGTCGCGGAGGTGCGGCGGGAAAAGGTGGCTGGAATGCGAGGAAATATATTGGACACCGGGGCGAGAGAGAGAGGGAGAGAGAGGGAGAGGGAGAGCGTTCGTGTCGGAGGGGTGGAAAGGGGGTGAAGAGGGCGAATTTGTTAGTGGACGGATCGATTCCTAGTCAGACATTGAGGCGTCTTGTGTTCATTTCCGCATTCGCCAACATCGAGCGCACTTTATATCTCGCGCTCTTCTCGCATTTCAGGCTGGGATTGTAAATAAAGGCTGGAACCGAATGTCGATGGCGAGGAAGAAGAAGAGGTCACTAAATGGATCAAACACGCTGTGGGAATGTGTTGGATTCTGAGGAAATTGCAAATTACATGAGTCGCCTCGAGTGATATTCAAATAATATTAATGTCGATCGAGATATTCGATGATAATAATAATTGTTTATTTGTCCTTTAAACCAATAAGACAACACGTTTCTCTCTTCGGGTTTAATGGTGAAGGAATTTCTTCGAGTAAATCTTCTTGCAATTGCCTTTCTTGTTTATTTTCTCTCACGCCTCTTGGACGGTTCTTTAGAAGACATTTACCAAAGAGTGCGCAAAGGAAAAGACGTGATTTTTAATGAGATCACGAAACAGAGAAAAAGAGAGTTTTTCTCTCAATTGGGCGAGAGAGAGAGAGAAAAATTGAACGAGTGACCATTTGAATGATTGTTGATTGAATGCAAATGAGAAATTCCAATTCAAATTTCATTATCTCTGTGTATTGAATTAACCAAAGGAGTCACAATCAAAATGAAATAGTTTTATTGACTCTTGACCTTCTTTATTTAACATAATAAACAACAATATGACGAAGAAGCGCGACTGGAGAAAATAAATCATTTGAACAAAAGCAGAGCGAAAGAGAGAGAGAGAAGACAATGGCGAAGATATATGAGAAAATGTCAAGGAATTTGACCGAATTTCTTCTATTGTGTGTATTTTGGCTCGTCAAGCAATGCGATGTGTATGAATTTTTATGTCTTTTGGGAGGCAAATTGAGTGTTCTTTTGGGTGTTTTCTGAGTAATTTGCTCTGTTGTTCTTCATCTTCAGCAAATCACCTTTTCAATTCCTTTTGTGTGTTTTTTATTAACTAGAATTATTCTCATACTTTTCTTGCTCACCCTGTGTTGAGATAAAAATTCCCAGCGAGTCAAAATAGCTAAAAAAAAAAGCAGTTAGTTTAGCTAAAAAGTGCTAAGTTAACTGAGCTAAAATTTGAACAGCACTCGAACAAAATGTGTTAAGCTGAAGTGTTGAAATAGAATTAAACAGTGTTGAAAAAACATCAATTTACAGCACATTTTTAAGCTAATTTTTCATCAATTTTTTTTAAGCAATTTTCCGAATTTTTCTGCTCCTTTTTCGCCAAATGCTGTGCTCAATTTTGAGCTTTTTTCTGATAAAAATTTAACAGGGAAACAGGAAGTCCAACTTCCTGCAAATCTCTCACTTTTGAAGGGATTTGCATGGCGGTTTTTATATAATTCACTTGAGTGTTGTAATCACGAAGTATATTATTGGAACGGCATGGTTTTACATGAAGCGACATCTATTGACTGGTCGCCGCTACTTTCGCTAGTGAATCAATCGAATAGCTAAAATTTGAGCGAATAATAGCACAAAAATCAACTATTTCAAGCTCAATTTTTGAGACTTAGCATTGTGTGTTCGCGCTGGGTTAGGAGAGGATTTTTAAAGTCCATCATAAACTCTCCAAATTGCGTGTTTTGCTGGGCTTTAATTAATAATCCCCAACAATATAATCTTACGATGGATTTTTGCTCGATTGTGTTTCGCAGGGAAGACAAAGATTTACTGCGCCAAATGCCAAAAGAAGTGCTCCGGTGAGGTTTTGCGGGTGACGGACAAGTATTTCCACAAGACGTGCTTCCAGTGCACAACATGTAGCAAGAGTCTGGCCACTGGCGGCTTCTTCTCCAAGGATGGCGCGTACTTCTGCACGCTAGACTATCAGAAGCTCTACGGCACCAAGTGCGCCGCGTGCGGGCAGTACGTGGAGGGCGAGGTGGTGTCCACGATGGGCAAGACATATCATCAGAAGTGCTTCGTGTGCAGCGGCTGCAAAAAGTCCTTCCAGTCCGGCAGCAAGGTGACTATGAAATCTTCCTTGAATTCAAGAGTCTGTTCATTCCAAGAATTTGTGCAAAATTTCCACGCAATTTGTTTTCTTTTGGCTTTTTCTTTCGTGGAATGAAGTTACTTTTTATGCAAAAATTGTCTCTCTTTCCCTGCTTTTACTCACGGCTGATTGTCCGAAAGGTGACGAACACGGGAAAGGAGGTGCTCTGCGAGACGTGCGTGTCCAATCCGGCGTCCAGCAAAGTCACTGCCACGCATCAATCGCGCGCCGAGTCGCAGAAGCCGCAATCGCCACAGCCTTCCGCCGCGGCCAGGGAGATCACCATGAGCCCCACGCGCGCCACCGCGGCCAGTCAGCAGCAGGAAGTGCCGCGGCGCGTGAACAACTCCACGGACTACGATCCCAACGAGTGCGCCGGCTGCGGGGATCAGCTGAAGGAGGGCCAGGCGCTGATTGCGCTCGATCGCCAATGGCACGTGTGGTGCTTCAGGTGAGGATCCAACAGTGGTTGAGACTGAGACTTCAGAGTTAAAATCACTGCGAAATTTACCCCAAAAAGCTTTTAATATCGATCTATTCTAATTAATTTGTGAATATTCTGGTTGATATTATTGCTTTTTTACTGGAATTTTGACTGAAAAGTCGATTTAAATAGATTTTGACGACTTTTCACACTGTAAATGTACTTTTTCTTAAATTTTTCTATTGAAGAAATTGAAAAAAATATGCTAAATATTATTCTTTTTCAAAAATCTATCTAAATTTCAGAGAAATACTGAAAAAGAGGCGTTTTGGACAATATTTTTTTGAAAAATCGTGTTTTTTCGATAAATTAGATTTCTTTTTGTTGCTCTGTAAGATAGAAATCTCGAAATTTCTTAAATAATAGAAACAGATCAATAACTTACAAAATGATCGACAATTATCGACACTTATCGACAGGATTTGCGTGCAATTTTCTTTTTTTTACACTATTTTAACGGAGAAATAGAATTGATTTTGATTAATTCGTCCATAAACTTTCGATTTTGACTATTTTTTCCTTAAAATTGGGTTGAAAAAGGAAATTGGCATGCAATTCGTATCGATAAGTGTTGATAAGTTCAATCAAAAATCGTCTTTGATACTTTTCGATTCACTCGTGAGAATTAAGTCTGGAATTCTGTGCTGAAACTCTGCTAATTACGAATTTCGCACATGAGTTTGGCTGAACAGTGTGTGTGTGATTCAGTATTTATTCAGTGTTTGGAGAAGAAATTGCCTCCTTTATCAGTTTGTTCTCTTTCATGTCTATTTCGGTAAACTTTCTGTTGTTTTACTCCTGTATCTTGGTTCTATAGACTCTCTCTCTCCATTCATTCGGGCCTCTTTTCACTCTATTGACTCTGCTAATAATTGAATTTATTATTTATTGCGATGGAATTTGAATGATAAATACCATTTGAGAAGAGAGGCTGCTTTAGCAACAACAGAGCAAACACGATGATTGAATGTGTGTGACCCAGAAATCTCCCTCATGTTCTAATGAATCTCTGCGTTTTTCCTTCCCTTGGCAGGTGTAAAAGTTGCAGCGCAGTGCTAAACGGGGAGTACATGGGCAAGGATTCGGTGCCGTACTGCGAGAAGTGCTACCAGAAGTCTTTCGGCGTCAAGTGTGCCTACTGCAATCGCTACATCAGTGGCAAAGTGTTGCAGGCCGGAGACAATCATCACTTCCATCCCACGTGCGCCAGGTGCACAAAGTGTGGCGATCCGTTTGGGGATGGCGAGGAGATGTACTTGCAGGGCAGCGCCATTTGGCATCCGCGCTGCGGTCCTGGCCCAGGAGCTGACGTGGGAACTGTCCTCAACGGCACAAATGGTCACTTCACCGACACGGAGTGTGATCGCATGAGCACAAGTGCAATGAGCGAATTGCAGGTAAGAAAAATAACAATATTGTCCACTTTGTTGAGCTAGAAAGACAGAATTTTATCAGTTTTTACTCTTTGTTCTCGATGTTGTGGCATTTTATAATGATGCTTTTCAACTTTCATTTTATCTCTTTACCAAGAAATATATATTTTATCAATTTAATTATAATTTTGCTATCAGCATGTTTTAATATGTTTTGCATTTTTGTGTGTTGTGTTTTTTTTTCTTTATTTTACTTTCAGTACTCTATTGGTTCACGTACGCCAAGTGGCTCACTTTTTAACACTCCGTACACGAGCAGGAAGGTTAGTATGAAGACAGCCTTTTTCTCCTTACACTCTGTCATCTCTGTAGGGAAAAGTGGGGCAGCGCTGACCACGGGATTCCGTCGATCACGACGATTATTTCATATATTATAGCTTTAATCTAGAATTGGATTTGATTCAAAAGACAGAATTGACGATTTTCTTAAGCACTTGATTTATTTTCTTACAACGTTTCGGAAGATTTTCCCTCCTTCAAGCTTATTAATCAAGCACTGCTCCGCAATCATGACACGACTGACTGAATCGTGCATTTCTCCGTGTCAAATAATACAGCGAGAATCTCATCAGGAGGAGAAGGTCGCCATGACAGTGGCATTTGCGCCTTAAGTTCTCCAGGGATACCAATTGGGCAGGACTTGATTCAATAGGGAATTCGACTTACAATGGAGAATCTTTTGGGCGAATTTGGTCAGTCAATCAAATCAATTCCAGAATTGACCTCAAACTCAAATTACTGCATGGGTAATAAAAAACTAGAAGCATTCGAGGCTCTGCACATCCTCTTATCGCGACATAGAAATGTCAATAAGAAGGAAGATTGTGCTGACGTTAGAATGATCAATGCGGATCATTAAACAAAGAATGCGAACAACATTCTGGATGGGATTTTTACAGTTGTGATAAAGAGAAAACGGTGGAAAATCACTCACAGAACTTTAAAAGCAAGAGAACAGTCACTCGCAAGTTAAGCCCATCAATAATTTTTTTGATTATTGGTTATTATTGATCAAATTTTGATTATTTTTTGATTATTTCCTGAATATTTAATCAAAATTTGAATATAATTGAAAAATTGTGAATATTCAGAATATTCTGATTGAAAATAATAACTTTTTTTTATTATATTTAATTCAGATATTGATTATTTTTCAATTTTACTTAGGAAAATAATTATTTTTTGATTATTTTACTCAAATAATTGATTATTTAATTAGAGAACATTAAGTTTTCTCAAAAATCTCCTTGTGACTTGCCTCTTGTTTAAAAGTTGACGATTGTTAATCTTCACAATGATAAACTAGCATTTTCCAGTCAGTGCTGCGCCCCATTTTCCCCTAAATTGTAGCGCAAAGAACAGAAACCCAAAGGAAAGACACCATCAAATTTGATCTGAGTTTGTGTTTGCCAAGGATGTTTTTTTCTCTTTTTACTGTATTTTTCTGTGTTGTTGATAATAATTAAATGTTCTGTGCATGTTTTTTCTTGCCAAAAGAGATAATCAGACGAATACTTATGTGACTTTTGTCTCATTTCAGTATCATCGCACAATAAGTCCGGGACTGATGTTGCGCGAATACGGTCGGCATGGTTATGGGTATGAAGATATCTCGCGGATCTACACGTACAGCTATTTAACGGATGAGCCGCACTATCTCAAGAAGCCCATTGATCCGTACGATAAGACGCCCGTGTCGCCGCACTTCCATCGGCCACACTCGGCCAGCGGCGGCACGATCAGTATGCCGTCGTCCAGGCCGCATTCGCGCAACAAGAGTGCCATGAAGGTGCTCGTGGATTCCATCAGAACGGAAACGCCGCGTCCCAAGAGTCCAGCGATGAACAATGAGGAGCCGATTGAGTTGTCACACTATCCGGGCGCCAAGAAACCGCCGCCGGGTGAGAAGCCGAAGATTGAGAGGGACGATTTCCCAGCGCCGCCATATCCTTACACAGACCCGGAGCGAAGGCGTCGCTACTCGGACTCCTACAAGGGCGTTCCGGTGTCTGATGATGAGGACGAAACCGACGCAACGGCGGCGGTGAACAGCAAAGCGGAGTGAGTGCAGATTTTTCAATCAATTCGCGTGCTATTTGTGGAATTAAAACATGTTTCGCACAGTGTTTTGAGTGGTTGAATGGCATTTCTTCTGTGTAGGCGCTTTGGGAATATTTATTGGATGTTTGTGCTCAATTTTGTCTGCATTTTAAGAGAGTGACTTTTTCTCTAAGACACACAAATACATCAAAGTCTTGGGAAAATGTTAACTCATCGAATAAAATACACTTCAATGAGTGGATTTGAAAAGTGTTCGCGACATTATGATTCTTCTAAAGGTCATCAAGAGACTCATATCTCACACGCTGTATAACTTTGGGTGGTTTGATAAGATTTCACATAGGTTTTATCATGCTGAAAGTGCTGACTTTGGTCAGTTTTTGTAAATTTCCGAGTGTTATTGCGTAATGCGAATTGTTTTGTTATTGAAGAGCGATTGAAGCATTGGAAGTCTAACATAATTTCCTGTTCTATTAACAGGCGTTTGAAGAAGGAGGAGGAGGAGCTGGCCAAGATGAATTCTGGGATGGGGGCTGTGATTCTCAAGGACCTAAAGGAACACGCTAGACATACAAAGTGGAAGCAGCAGCACTTGGATCCGAGGAATGCTTCCAGGACTCCGTCAGCTTCCAAAGAGCCACTCTATAAATTGAGGTGATGCGATTTTCCGATCAATTCCCACTCAAACTGAGCAATGTTAGACGAATGTGTTATTTCAAATAACACAAGTGATCTTTTTAACACTACAAAGCGGTTTCTGTCAAGACTTGATCTTTGAAATATGCGTAGATAATTGAAAAAGCTTTCTTTTGGCGCAAAATGCAGTAGAAAAGCTTGATAAGATCATTTATTATTCGTGATAAACCAAAAAATACCATCAGAAGCACTTGTCAGCTGGCCAGCGTGGCCAAATGACAGCTGTCAAATCCATGCAAAATACAAGGACGCCAGCAGAGACATCTATCAGCCGAAAGAATGTCCTTAGAATATGAATAAAGACGTATTTTCTTGTGTGCAGAAAAAAACAGTTTGAAATCGCAATTAAAAATTCAGTGAAATTGAGAAAAATAATTTAAAAAAACAATTTAGGGAAAAATATGACTGATCTTTAACAGTCCTCAGTTTTGTTGGGAATTGCTCAATTATTTCACGGAAATTTCTGTATGAAATTGATTGCTAATTGATGTATTTCTCTGGTGTTAGATATGAATCCCCAGTTGGTGCTTCACCATCGAGGAATCTGGATCATCCTCGACCGTTTTACGATGATGAAACGACATTTGATCGAAGTACGAGTTACCGTGGCTCAGTTGGCCGTGCAATTGGCAGCGCACCAAGTTACAATGGTAAGTTGAGAGATGAATTTACAAGTGGATTTTGTTCAAAAACTTGTTTTCCAATTACATTGAAAAGATACATATTAGAATATCTAGTAATTAGTTTGAAACAATGAGAGAGAGACGATAAAGTTTTTGATATCAATTGATAAACTCTAGCGATACACTCGTATCGATCACCGCCAAAGCCAGGATATGGTTTCAAAACATCAACCCTACCGGCATCAATGCGAAATGGTTACAGTTCTGTAAGTCAAAAAGAAACTGGTTGGAAAGGCAAAGAAAAAATGATTGATTGATTGAGTTTCACTATCACTTCGACTGGCTTGGAAAGAAAAACTAACACACATTGAAGAAAAACATCTTAATGAGAAAGAAAGAGAATTAGAATCATGGCTAGTGGTGTGTCGATACTCTGTTTGACTTCTTCTGTTGAAAAGAAAGAAAGAAAGAAAGAATCCATTTTTAACAAGGGTTACTCAAGTGGTTTCCATTCGTAAAAATTCCATAATATTCCACAATCCATTCCTTTCTATTCCCATCTATTTTTCGAAATATTCTTTCCCTCAAAAACTAACTAGAAATTGTGTCTTCGCAATCGTCTACTTAGAGAGATATGAAGAAATTCCATATAAGAGAATTTAGCACAAGATCGTGAAGTATCGCGGGTTCGATTCTCCTTCAGTTGTGATTTTTTTTCACTTGTCTTTGCTTTTTCGTGTATTTTCCTTCATTTTATTCCTTTGTAATCGTCATTTTTCCCTCAATTTCTCCAAGAATTTATTCTGATGCTCGGAATTGTTTTTCTTTCACTAACTTTTGACTACTAAATTCTTTTTAACGCTTTTATGTTTATTTTGGGACTTGAAACTATTCTAAATGTTGCAAATACTATAAAAAAAACTTTGAAAGTTATTAAAAAGTCAAATGTAAATGTATGAAAATGGATGGAAAATGGCATGAAAATGCGATTTTAGTAGTTTTCCAAACGAGTATAGGAGAAAATCCTTTATTCTGACTGGAAAACGGAATATTTACAACATATTCCGAATATTCCTTGGGTTTTTGATGTTTTATTTTATCAAGAATTTCATCCATTCCTGTCATTCCCGTCCATTCTTCAACTTGAGCAACCCTCGATTTTATATGAATTTGCGCATAGCTTTAGGTTTTATTCTCTGAACTAAAAAAAAAACAGAAAATCATACTAATTCATTAATATTTCTTTAATGCCTCACACTTGAAAACTGCATCAACTAATAATCTCTCTGTGTGACACACAATTTGCGGACAATTGTGTGACTGACAATCTGTTGCATCTCACACTGAAGTGGTGAGTTCCTTGAGACAAATCCCTAAACCTGGGTACGGCTTGGCTGCCCGTTCGCATACATTCAGTTCTGCTACAACGACTGGTTCCGGCCAGGGCGCTCCTGTAAGCTTTCACTGTGTATAAACTTCCTGATTTTTAATTTTTCTTTCAGTTTCTCACCAAATTTTTACCATGATTTCTCTCTGTTCTTTTCTTATCTGTGTTAAGATGTTTTTCGTTAGACTGTGTTTAGTTGTCCAGACATGAAGATGAAAGTAAATGAGAGAACGTTGTGAGAAAGTGAGCTTCTGTTGCACTTTTCAGCCTTTGCTTTCGTAATTCAATAGATTTTATTTGGATTTTGAGCATTTTAGCATCTCTTGATATGATTTTTTCTTAGTGATCTTTTTAATCTTCTCATGCGTTCATAAATGCACAACTATTTTGCATGATTTCCACTTTTCTTCCCCCATTCATCCGTGATCAAGATTGTTTCCTTTCTGGTTTGGTGCACATTTCTTCTTCTTTCGTTTTTGCACTTTGTTTTCATACATGAAAGCGCATTTCTTCATTTGTGTTTATGCAGAAATAATTAGTGTGCTTCTGTAGAAAATTGCTAATGTAAAGTGTTCAGCAATTTAGTAGAACAGTTCTGAGAGTGAATGAATGCTTCACTTTTTATCTGCTCTCGCTGAATAAATTGGGCAAATAAATATTGCGACACATTTTACTGAACTCTTCCGTAGGATTTCTCCTTTGGCGGTCTTGGCGACAAGACACACAGCACGGAGTTTAGTTGTGGCAAATCAGATGGTGAGTGTTGTAAAATTGTCTGTTGTGAACAAAGGGGAAAGTCACTTGTGGGTTTAAAAGAGAAAATATGGAGAAAAAAAATTTGCCTCAGATTGGATTCGAACTCGTGAAAGTAAGAGTCGAAAAACTTCTAAATGCTTTTCAAACTTGGTCAACTAAAGTTCGGTCTTTTTTCTATGCGAAAAGATTCATTTTAACGATAGAAGATCGTTTCTCTGCTGGAAAAGGAAATGATAACTTTGCTGCCCTCTAACGGTCATATTGGGCAAAATTAATTTGATTTTTTTCGTAATTTGACTTGGAAAACGTTCGGTTTTTAGTACTTAGTACTGTCACTGTTCCTATCGGCAATGCACTGCACCGCTCCGCTCAGTGCTGCCTCTGTCGTCAAGTAATGCTAACAGCGAGAATCTCGTCAGGAGGAGAAGGCCGCCATGACGGTCATGATGATTGATAAAGGGAATTCGATTTACACTTGTGACTTTCCTCTTTGGCTGCGGAAGTGTTTGGGAGGGATTTTAGAGCGTCCTTTAATTGGGGGTTTTGCACAGTTTCTGTGGACTCAATAACTGAGGGCGATCGTCGAGCTCTGATGGCCGCCGAATTGCCAGTGTCGAGCACATATTCCGGCGGCATTGCCTACCATCATCCACAGCCGGGCCTCATTCGTCGCAGTCTGCCGAACATGGCGCACTCCATGCTAGTCCACGAGCCGGCCAAGATCTATCCTTACCATCTGCTACTTATCACCAACTATCGTCTGCCAGCGGATGTGGATCGATGCAATCTGGAGGTGAGCGAGTGGCGCACAATGTTGTTTCTCATTTGATCAATTGCAATTCGATGCTAATTCAATTAACACAACGATTCGGTCGTTTAGCGTCATCTGTCTGACGTGGAATTTGAAGCAATACTACAGTGTACTCGAGCGGAGTTCTATCGACTACCTCAGTGGCGTAGGAATGAGCTGAAGAGGCGATGTCGTCTATTCTAAGGCTTTGAAAAAACTCACACGAGAAAAATACTTCAACACACACACAAACACACACTTAAAAGCTATATTTACATATAATTGGAGAGATGAGCTTTTTTGGCCATTGACAAGAGATAGAAAGAGAGAGAAATATGCATTTAGAAGTCGTGCAGGAAAAGAGCTCTGGAATAAGGCTTAAGATAAGCAAAAAAAGATGTCTTTAGGCTTCTCTGTACTAAATGTGCGCGCGCCATAAATGTTGCAGCATCATTTGTGTGTTGTTGGGGAAGTGAAGAAAAAGAAGGTGCAGAGCGTGGTGAAAATATTTAGGAAAATTCAAATTTTTCAATCCACTTTTTAATAGGCGATCAATGAAGGAAAAATTTCCTCTTTTTTTACCAATAATCTTACCAATCTTGAGCAGTGGAATTTTATAACAGTGTGTGACCCAGTGAGATGTTGTTATGACGAAATTCCACTGCAAATGACATAGTGAAATAGGTAAATAAATAAAAAATACAACTTCACACAACTTTGCTAATAAACTGAGAGAAAAAAAACAGAGACGAGAAATTATAGGCATTGAAGATAATCTTAAATCGTGTTAAAATTGGTATATAGAAAAAAGCTATATATTCTATTTGATTATTATATTGATGATGATGATGATGAGGAAAATAAGAGTGGCGGAAAAATGGTGAAAGAAGAAGAAGAGAGAAGAAGAAAAAATCTATATATTTCTATATTGGAGGAACGATGAGTAAAAAAAAACTTTTACTTATAATAGCGTGTAATTTATAAAAAAAAAATTCGATGAGATGAGAAGTAATTTCTAGTGTAGGTTTGAAATTGAAGAAGAGAAGAAAAAAAAATTGAAGAAAATTCGAAGGGTGTTGAAAAGTTGATTAGTGTGAAGAAAGGATAAGAAATTGAATGAAAAATAACACTAAAAGCTACAAACTACCAAAGGTTTTATTCAAAAAACAACAAAAAAATTTTTTTCTATCGCATAAAGAAATTAAGAGAGAGAAAGAGAAGATGAAAAAACAGCCACAAGTGTTAATCAAATTACATAAAAAATATCCGCTTGATTGTATACAAAATGAAAAGAAAAAATCTGCAACGCGCGCGTCTTGTTCTTTTATATGGAAAAAAAAACCTTTTGCAGCGCAAACTTGGAAGAATGAAGAAAAACAATACACTTTATTCACTCTTCCGATGGTTAAATTTAATTATCCTTCCGTTTTTTCCCCTCTCTTAAATTATTCGGTAAATATTTGTATTTTTATAAGAGTGCTTTAAAGAGTCTTCTTTTTCGGGACTTTTATTGCAAAAGCGAATGCATCACTTGAAAATCCATCACAGCTGAAAAAGAAAAGAAAAGAAAAATTGAAGTGTGAAATGCAAAAAAAAAGAGTGGCAAAGAATGAAATTCTTGAGATTGAGAATGGCGGCTAAATATTTATATATATTTTCATTTTATCTAGAAAGTATAATATTTTATTTTCTTGCATTGCAAATTTATCGTGTAGTTTTTATCTCTTAATAATGACATTTTTCCACTCAAGGACTTTTTATCACATTTTCTTTCTTCCTCCAGAAATTTTTTTTTCCTTCCAACAGAGTTCAAAAAAGAAGTGATTTAATTTTCTGGATTTTATTTCCTTATAGAATTTCCCCACTTTTTCTGTCTAGCGATGCTTTTTGGTCGATTAATAAATTTTTATGTTTTAAGTGAAGATTGAAAGGAGGAGAAAATTTTGATTATAATTAACTATACTGTACTAGAGAGAAATGATAATAAAATGCCAGATATAAATGATTTACTGGGATTTTCATGGGATTTTCTTTGGTATTTCGCTCAAGTGATTTCGACGGCTCTTCACTTCGGCGCCGTCCAGCCGCCGAAAGTGTCTTCCAGATGCTTGGCCATGGCGAGGCAGAGGCGATCCTGGTGAGGAGCCGCGATCACTTGCACGCCCACGGGCAGTCCGCCGGCGGACAGTCCGGTGGGGACGTGCGTGCAGGGCAGCCCGAGGGCGTTGAAGATGATCACGTAGACCAGCGAGCTGAGATTGACGGCGTATTCGTAGTGACGCCACGCGTTTGTGGCGCAAGTGGGCATCACGAGGACGCCATCCGTGCCCAGGAGTTTAATCAAGCGCTCCTTTATCTCCTCTCCCATCTGGCGATACCGTTTGCCGCCTCGGGCAGGAATGAAGGCCTTCTGGTTGCAGAGAAGATTGAAAAGGAGTGCGGCGAATGTGAACTGCGATCTTCCCACGATGGATTTGAGCAATTCCCAGTAGATGCTCTTACTGGAGTTGGGATCTTGCGGATCTGACGTGACATAGTCCACAGGAACGACTGCCAGATTAGCCAAAGCGATCTCGAGGGATTTGCTCATGTCTAAGTTTAGCTGTGGAACAAGAAACTCACTTTAGACACAACAGAAAAGATAAGTATTCTTATGAAATATGCATTGAGGGACAGAGCCTTCTCCATTATAAGAAATATTCGATTGTCAGTTTGCTGACCAACCATAAGACAGAGCGTGCAAGACAATTTCAGTGAAGCGTATGATTCAGTTGGAACATTCAATAGCAACCACTTGATTTAATGACAGGCTTGGAAAGGACACGGCTGCAGCATCGAGATCATTAACAACATTAGGAAATGAGTGAATAACAGTCACTTCCAGACCAACATCTCTAAGCAGCGTGCTAAAAATCAATTTCCTCGCCATTACTCAACACACTTCCACGATGTGACTTAATACTTATTTGCGACCAATATCGATAACTATGCATTCATTTAACTCTTATTTCATGTCTGCCAGACATTTGATTAAGTTTATTAGAGTCCATTACGTGCTATTAGTGTCACTTTTAGTGTTGCACTAAGTAAATGAACTAATGAACTGCGAAAGAGCTCTTAAGTATATGATGGAGGAAATTGCGTCTCAACTCACAGCTTCTGTCGGCGTTCCGATCTCCTTGAAGTGGTTGACAACCTGCCAGAAGGCCGTCCTTGTGTCTTCCGTCACCGGCACAATGAGAGATCCTTCGATCTGCTCCAAGTGGAATACGCGAATGTTCTTCCACGACACGGACTCAGTGAGATTCAGCTGGGCAGCATTCGGTCCGGCCATGATGTGGAGCAGGAGCGGCAGATCCTTGGCGTACCTACACATGGGTCCGATGACGAGATAGTCAGCGCCGGTGGCGTCACCAGGATAGGGAGCGTGACCCACAATTGACACAACTCTGCGCGTGGGTTTGTGGCCAAAGATGCCGTTGAAGAGTGCGGGAATCCTGATGCTGCCCGCCACATCGGATCCTACGCCAATCACCGATGCTCCGGAGCCCAGCAGAGCTCCCTCGCCGCCGGACGATCCGCCGGAGGAGCGCTGGCCACTGTAGGGATTCAGTGTGCGTCCGGTGACGAAGTTGAAACACTCCCAGTTGAAGCAGAATTCTGGTGTGTTGGAGACGAGCAGAGGAATGGCGCCGGCATCTAGCAAGCGTCCCACGGCCTCACCATTGTCTGCACTGCGAGTCTTCGAGCGCAGGAGGCTGCCTTGGGTGCAGAGGAAGTTCTGCAGGCGACAACTCTCCTTGACAGTGATGGGAACGCCCAGGAGAGGAAAGCGCGTCTTGAGATCGGCAATTGGCGTGTTGCGACAGAGATTGTCGGCCTTCTTGGCCAGATCGAGAGCCTGCGGGAAGCCACTCTCGACGATGGCATTGAGGTGAGGATTGACGGCGTTGATCCTCTCAATGTACGCCGCAACGGCGTCTTCGGATGTGATCTGCGAGTGCGAGATAACAGCGGAGGTGCAATTAATTGCATTGAAATGTTCTCTATTTGCTCAAACAATTCTCACAATGTGGATAATGGAGTGGCGCGCGAGAGATCGACTTGTTTGCCTTGCTTGGACAAAATAATCACAGCATGATTTATGAAATTTCTCACACCGAAGCGATATTGAGAGAAGATTAACCACCAAAAGACATTGAGCAATTTACATAAAAAATCCCACGATAGCTCGAGTCTCTTTTGCGCCACAGCCAAAAAGCTTTTTTAGGAGATTGTGAGACGGTTTTTTCCCCCCACTTATATGACCTTTCTATTATAAATTGCGTCTCAGACGCTTAGATTTCCTGTAACAATTGATAAGCAATTCTACTATGACGATTTTAGAGTAATTATATTTGTTTCAATTGGAATACAATTAATGGCTATTGCGTAATGGAGAAACGAATGCAATTGAAGACACGAGAGATAATTGTTCTTCTCACACGATTGCGGAAAAAAAGTGGATTTATTTCTTTGATTCGGTTGCACAGCCGGAGATTGTTTGAATATTTATGACCTCATTATTCAAATATTGTCGTCCGTTGCCAAATATTTGAAAGTGAAAGCTCGATTAAGAGTGTTTTTTTTTGTTGATGGAAGAAAAAGAATTTTGTAGCACAAATCTCACCTCTTGCAGTCGTATTTTCTCCGCGAGGTCAATTGCTGGGATTTCCAAGAGTTTATTGGAGAATGTGGGCAATCGACACTTGGCATAACTGGCATAGCACAAGCACATGTAGATCCTGTAGAAAGGATCGCTGATGTAGTAGAAGATCTTCAGTAGGAGAAGAATGAACTTTAGAATATATTCCTTCATGATTTGATCACTTTCTTATGGTTATTTCACTTATAAATCACTCAATTCATTGCACTTCTGAGTCCAAAGACACAAGAAACTGGATGCAAAGACGGAGAATCTTACAATTGAACTGTTCAGCTCAGCAGACATGCTCAGACTGAGTGTTTGCCGTGGAGAATCAATAAGGCAGCGTTGTGGCTCTTCCACTATTATTTTTTGTCTCCTTCTGCATTGCGATTAATTATCAGTATTTTTTCACAATTTAACCGTGTGGCTTCGCACAATCACTCAAAGTAATCATTAGAGTCACTTCAATAATTCCGGTAATGAGATAGAGACTTTTCCTGGACAAATGCATCGTTGTAATCTTTGCAAAATGCTGCTAAATTGTAGAGTCATTTTGTCTCTCTGCGGATCTGCGGAAAAAAGCTCACGTGCTCGAGAGGATAAATTAGGAATTTATTCAAGAAATGACCATTTATTTGTCGATGAGTACAAATGACTTTTTTTTCTTGGGGAGATTTCTTCGGATGAATGAACCAAATGATTAAATATTTGATGTTAGGTTCGAGACGAAGATTGAAACAGAGACAGCAGTGAAAAAGTGTGTTTGTTAAACACTATTTAATGGATTCTTTCTGCAAATATTCTCCGCACTGAAATGATGGTTTTCTTGGCTGTGCGTACAATTTTAAAACTTACTAACTTAATTGATATATTGAGACTGTGCAGAATTGAAGGCTTCCACTAAAGCCACAATTAGTGGTTATTGTGCAGATAAGAGACAGGAGAAGTAAGGTGGAATTGAGCTATTAGCTGACCACCTTGTGATGTTGTGTCTTCTAAATGAATTCACAGGAATTTATTGGTAATTGGAGAAGTTGGAAATTTTCTTATAGCGCCAATAGAACCTGAAATGCAATATTCAATGGCAAAAGTCATTGTATAAATTGTTTCTCAGAAGAAATGAGGAGCTTTTTTTATCATTTGCACACTTTAATGTTATAATTTATGCTTCTGAACTCTCGAGGCGGAGATGAGCATGAGATTAACGTGTGTTAATTTTATGAGATTGTGAATATTCAAGCAAATTAACTACACACAAGAAAGAGTTGTAATCAATTTTTTTTTATGTACGATCTTCAGACAAGTCTGACGATTTTCCAGATTTTCCCACGCCAGCCAACTTGCGCCCAATGCAATGTGGAAGTGAATTTGTTGACAAGTTTTCATCAATGCAATTTCATCTTGACCTTCGCCACAACTCTTTATTCTCATTTACATGATTATCCACTTTTACCAATGCACTACAGATACAGACATTGACCAGTTTTGTGACTTTTCCTCTCCATTACACGATTTTTTTCAACTCGATCACGTCGATTGCCATCACCAAGGGGGAGATAATATGGCTGAAATCTGCACAACACTTCTACAATTCTTAAGATTCTGGTTATTTTAGCGTTGTCATCCTGAAAATTGACCAAAAACTAACCGAAATCTAACTAACAACTTTCTAGCTTAAAATTCCAGCTGTTAAGTAAGTAGAATTGAGGTTATGTTCGACTTTAGCGCTGTTTTATACCACAAAACATCCAAAATCATGATTTTCATAACGTAATTCTGGTTAAAAGTGGATAAAATTTCATTTGCTTTGCAAGAATTCCCTTTCCAGCTGTTATTTAGTCTCAAATAAGTCACATAACCTAGAAAATTTGATGATAAACACTCTCCCCACGCTGTTCGCAACTTCTGCTCATATTATCTCCCACTTGAGCATCACTTTGGCGGCTTCCATCCACCAAAGGCGCGCTCAAGATGGTGAGCCACGGAGAAACAGAGGCGATCTTGATAAGGACCAGCGACAACTTGAACGCCCAGCGGAAGTCCGCCGGATGAGAAGCCAATTGGGACGCTGGTGCCGGGAAAGCCCAGCATGTTTATCAGGAAAGTGTAGGACAGTCCGTACCACATGGTATAGTACTCGTGATGCCTGAGCGCGGGTCGCGGCGATGTGGGGAAGATGAAGACGCCGTTGGAGCCGAGTTTGCTCACCAAATCACTGCGGAGCTTCTCGAATTTCTCCGCGTATTTGGCATTGTTGCGCCTGAAGAGGAAACTCGTGGCGATTCTCACGAGAATCATCAAGTACATGCCGCCGAAGGTGAATCTGGAGCAGCCAAAGGGTGACTTTAGCATCTCCAGGAAGAGATATGGCGTCTTGTGAACACCTGATGGATCTTCCAAGACACTCGGAATGTCCTTAAGAGCCGCCGTTCCCGCGATCATGAACTCAGGCGCTTCACTCATGTCCACATCGAGCTGCAAACGCGTGGAATCTCATGAGTAAGATCAGCTATTGTTTAAGTCTCTAGATTGATCTTCTCACCGGCATTGGCTTCATTCCGAAGTCACTGAAGTGCTGAATGACCTCGTCAAAGGTTCGACTCATGTCCTTTGACGTCGGAATGGTGAAGAGAGAACTTCCCACGCTCTTCTTGAAGAATATCCTGATCTCTTCCACGGGCACGGGATCGTCCAGCTTGAGATGAATGGCCTTCGGACCTGCCATGATCTTCGTGATGAGCGGAAGATCTCTGGCATAGCGACACATTGGACCGGCGCTCATGTAGTCACTGCCTGCGGTTTTGGTGAGATCTGGAAGCATTCCTGCGTTGGAGATCACTCCGGGTGTGGGTTTGTGGCCAAAGACGCCGTTGTACATGGCCGGACAGCGAATGGAGCCGGCTGTGTCGGCCGCAATGCCGAACAGAGAAGCCCCAGAGCCCAGAAGAGCGCCCTGCAAAAGGTAATTTGTGGTTTTATGGCTGGAATAAGCGATAAAGATCTGTTTACACTTCGTGTAGTTCTGCCCTTGAACCTGTTGTAACTATTCATGATAATAATAGTTTCCAAGGGGGAGATAATTTGATTCGTTGTGCTGTACGGATCAGTGGAAATATTTGACTCCAAGAAGCTTGTTTTTAAACCTCTTCTTGTGACCAAAACCCAGATTTTCAGGCACTTTCACATCTCACCTCGCCTCCGGACGATCCGCCGGCGGATCTTCTCTGATCGTAGGGATTCAGCGTGCGTCCTGTGACAAAATTGTTGGTCTCCCAACTGTAGCAGAACTCTGGCGTGTTGGAGACAAGCAGCGGAATAGCGCCAGCATTGAGTATCAGCTGAACAGCTTCGCTGTTCTCAAGAGATCGCGTGGCTTTGCGCCAGAAGTTTCCCATGGTGATTGGGAAACCGGCGGCTCTGCACGCTTCCTTGATCGTCACGGGGACGCCGAGGAGGGGAAATTTCTCCGCCAGAAAGGATTCTTCGAATTCTGAACACTTCTTATCAGCATCTTTTGCCATCTCGATGGCGCGTTCGAAGCCATTCTCCACAATGGCATTGATCAGAGGATTCACAGCCTCCTGTCGAGCAATGTAGGCTCTGACCACGCTCTCTGACTTCACCTGGAGAAGAAGAAACTTAGATTAGAACTGCGTTTGCTGGACTGAAAGATTTTGCCTCACTTCGCGACACCGTATTTTCTTCGCGAGATCATTGGCAGAAATCGTCAGGAGATCACAATTTACGAAGGGCGGCAGAGGTTTTCGGGGTGTAAAAATTGCTCCGTGAATGATAAGGAGTGGATAGATGAGGAGGGATGTGAATTTCATCCAGAGAATTGAGATTCGCAAGAGAATGTCCATATTTGATGCGTGAAAACTTGTCGCACAAACTTAACATACTGAAAATGGTGAAAAGCTTCGTGCTGTGTTCTCGCGAGAATCATTAATGGATATGGTTTTTCATGCCAGTCGGCTGAAGATCGTATTTAATGGTCAGTGACGTTCTAAGGTTGAGAGCGAGAGTCAAGTGCAGGTTTTTCCCCTCTTTCATCACCTGTTTTCTGTGTCACATTTTCGTGGCGTGCGTGTGCGTGGGGGAAAAGTGTGTTGAGAAAAGTTGTTTCGGTGATTTTCACCTAGTTTTTCACGCAAATATTGCTGCATTGAATGTCGGTCAGAAGCTTGGAGAGCCATTGAAAGTCTGCAAGTTTCCCGCTCTTTTCTCACATGCGAATTTGCATTACTGGAAAGCGCGCGCGCTTCCAGTATTTCCAGTGTCAACCACGTGGTTTCCCAGATGCAAAAAGTAAACAATAATTATTCGCTCTCTTTTGCCCTCTTTTTGCAGTGATTTACTGCTCAATCTCGCTTCGCAGATAGTGAAAGCTGATGCCCAAGATCTGCCCCAGAAACTCAAGTGAGCTTCCGCAGGGAAATCAGTGAACAACAGGGAGAATTATCAGCTTCAGAGGTCATCGAGTTCATCAAGAGCGACGTGGGTATTTTTCGCAATAATTCGATTGATTTACTCAATTCCAACCAGTCTTGTTTGTTCAGTTGCCCAGGAGAGTGCCTTTCGAGAGAATCCAGAGCCCGAGAATCCAGAATCATGTCCGGAGAGGAGTTTTTGGGCTACAGATCGCCGCTGAGCTCTCGCTATGCCAGCAAGGAGATGCAATTCCTGTTCAGCGACCAGAATAAGTTCTCCACGTGGCGGAAGTTGTGGATAATGCTGGCCAAGGCGGAGAAGGAGCTGGGATTGGACATCACGGACGAGCAGATCGCCGAGATGGAGGCCAACGTGGACAATGTGGACTTCCAGGCGGCGGCGGCTGAGGAGAAACTCACGCGTCACGACGTCATGGCTCATGTTCACGTGTTCGCCAAGCTGTGCCCCAAAGCGGCCCCCATCATCCACCTGGGCGCCACATCGTGCTTCGTGGGCGACAACACAGATCTGCTGATCCTGCGCGGTGGTCTGGATTTGCTGCTGGATGGCGTGGCGGGCGTGATTTCGCGCCTGTCGGAATTCGCCCGGGAATATCGCAGCTTGCCGACGCTGGGCTTCACACACTTGCAGCCGGCGCAGCTGACCACGGTGGGCAAGAGGGCGTCGCTGTGGCTCTCAGACCTGCTGATGGACGAGCGAGCGCTGCGCCGATGCCGCGAGGATCTCTGCTTCCGCGGCGTGAAGGGAACGACGGGAACGCAGGCGTCCTTCTTGCAGCTCTTCGACGGCGACGGCGCCAAAGTGCGTCTGCTGGACAGGCGAGTGGGTCAGCTGGCGGGATTCGCCAAGTGTTATCCAGTCACGGGCCAGACGTACTCCCGGAAGGTGGATTTGGAAGTTGTGGCGGCGCTTTCGGGACTCGGAGCGACGGTGCACAAGATGTGCTCGGATCTGCGCCTGTTGGCGTCGCGCAAGGAGCTCGAGGAACCCTTCGAGAGCACCCAGATCGGCTCCTCCGCCATGGCGTACAAGCGCAATCCGATGCGCTCCGAGCGATGCTGCGCCATCGCCCGACACTTGATCACGCTGCACGCCAACGCGGCCAACACGCACGCCACGCAGTGGCTCGAGAGGACGCTGGACGACTCGGCCAACAGGCGCCTGACCCTGTCCGAGGCCTTCCTCAGCGCCGACGCCGTGCTGCTCACGCTGCTGAACATCACGCAGGGCCTCGTGGTGTATCCGAAGGTGATCGAGCGTCACATCGCGCAGGAGCTGCCCTTCATGTCCACGGAGAACGTGATCATGGCCATGGTGAAGGCGGGCGGCGATCGCCAGGTGTGCCACGAGAAGATCCGCGTGCTGTCGCACGAGGCGGGCGCGCAGGTGAAGGTGCACGGCAAGGACAACGATCTGGTGGCGCGCATTAAGGCGGACGCCTACTTCGCCCCGATCCTCAGCCAACTGGACGCCATCCTGGACGCCAAGACGTTCATTGGACGCGCGGCTGAGCAAGTGGAGGAGTTCCTGGCGGAGGAAGTGGCGCCGGTGCTGGCAAAGTACAAGGATCAACTCAAGGGACTGAAAAGTGTTCAGCTGAGCATCTAGAAAGTGTGTTTTTAATCACAAAATAAAGAGTTATTCATCATTCTGCAGAAGCATGTAGTAAATCGTGGACTTCTTGCGCACTTCCTGCAGAATCTTGATGTGGCGCAGCATCTGAAGGCGCGTGCTGGTGCGCTTGTCGATCATCTTGCCAATGATGCGCGTGATGTCGCCCTGCGTGATGAACGTTCGGGTGGGAAACTCCTTCTCCTGCTCCAGGAACAGATCATAGAGATGGCGATCCCTCAGCGCGATGGTGTTCCTCTCACGGCACAGCATCTTGTACTTCTCCATGAAGCACTTGTGGATCACGGACTCCAGGAAGTCCTGCAAGTCATTCAGCGTGTCGCGGCCGCGCATGTACCGCGGAATCTGCTCGAAAAGGCTCTGCGTGATGGTGAAGTTGAAGTCCTGACTCTTGGCCGCTGCCCGGCAGCCGAAGGGCGATTGGGTGTGGCGCAGAACCGAGCTGGGCTGCAAGAGAGAAGAGAGATAACTGTCACTGCGTCACACGATTGCAGATCTCGAAGCATTTTTACCGTTCGCGGAGCGCTCTGGAGGCGATGCATCTTGAACACCGATCCGGGCGTGCTGAGCTCCCTCACGCGCAGCGCTGACTGCGGGGTGGTGGACAGGGTCGTGGGCTGGACGCTCTGGTTCATGGTTTCCATCACTTCCATGAGGCGCAACATGAACATCTTCTGGCGATGCGCGCGCTCGGCGTCTTCCTCCATTTGGCGCTTCAGAGCCGGCCAGGCCTTGAGATACTCCTTGGCCCTGGCCATCAGCTCCTGCACCTCCGCCGTCACCTTCGCCAGCTCATTGCACTGCTCCTGATGCTTCCCCTTGTTCAGGCAGATCCGATAGTGAAGCTTCAGCATCGCAATCTTCTCAAAGTGCTTGTCGAGGATCTTATCGAAGTCCATCTTTCTGGCGGTTTTCACACAAATCACCGTGTAGATCTACCACGCGAGGTGTTCAGGGACAATTCTCACCTGATTCTCAGTCTCTATGCGGCGGATAAAAGGTCTTCTTACGTGGAAATTGATGGAAATCGAAGAAAATTGCTCGCTTTGAGCTCGACGCCTGTTTCAAGCGGTTCTTTTGACTTGCCAACTAGTGTTGTCCGATGGAATTTCCAGCTCTTCCAGTGGCGAAAGTTCGCCGTGGAATATTTAAAATATAACTGCTATCTTCACACCATATTTAGAAAATACCCGGAAATTCCCTGAAAATCAGGGAAAACTCCTTTTTTCTGGCCAATAATAAATCGCTCAGTGTTAAAAAATCCGTTTATTTCAAGGTACAAAAGTATCGGGAAGAGCTTCCGCATCACAGACTGTCAGGGGATGACGAGATTCGAGGCCCACTCCTTCAGCCACTGCGCGCTCACGTTCTGCGTCATGGTGGTGAGGAGCGCGAGGAGGGAGCGCTTGGGTGGGCGGCAGTGCTTGCGCCCCTTCTCCTGGCAGCACACGTTGGGGAAGCAGTCCAGCGTGTTGTTGCAGGGCTTCGGGAAGAGATCGAAGCTGGGCGCCGGCGGCGGCGTGCACTGGATGTAGCCCGACATGGCCTCCAGTGGATTGGCGAGGGAGCGCGCGAAGGGAATGTCGGACTTCTGGAGCTCAACTGTGGCGCTGCGGCAGTACTTCTTCTGGCCATCCGGACAGCACACTCGTGGCCAGCAATCGGCGTCTGTGTCGCACGTCTTCAGCTCCCAGAAGAGCTCGGCGAGGGGCGTTTGAGGGCATCGCTGCTGGATGAGGCCGAGAATGGCTGTTTGGGGGAGGAAAACGATTGAGTTTCTGACTGTGTTTCGCAGGGGAATTGAGGATCTCGCAAGGAGGGCGACTCACGCTCATGTGGAGGCTCAATGATTGGCTTCGGGACGCCCTGAATGCATCTCTTGTAGCTGTTGACCTTGCAGCACACGTGCTTCTTGCCCATGATGAGGCAGGACTTGTCATTGGTGCAGGGCAGCGCGAACCACCCGACGTGCTTTTCCGGATTCTTTGGGCAGATCAGCTCCGTCTTCTCCGCCTTGCGCGTCTTCTTGTTGGGCTTCACCGTGCTGACCACGACTCGGCTGTCGCTGGTTTTTGCGTCACTCTTGATCTGCTTGGCCAGCCTCTGACCGCCTGCGAAGAGGGCGAAAAAAATGCCCGCGTGTGTTGAAATTGAGCTGCAGCGTTAGATAACGCGCCGAAATTCAATCAGAGAGCCTCTCACGAACAATCCGCGGACCATTGATCGGTGATTGATTGGCCAAATCTCACCAGCGAGAGAAGAAAATCTTTGGCGCGCGAAATGCGAAACGACCGGCGAGCATTTCATGGCAATTGCAGAGAAACTCTGCATTACATATTCGGCAGGTCCAAGGGGGAGATATCACGGTCAGAAGTGGTGTATAACGTCCATTATTGTAAATTGCAATATTTGAATTTCTTTAATGTTCCTTGTTTTTAATTAAACTAGTGAAATTGTCAAAAATTCTGCATTTTTTTGGAATATTTTGCTGAGAAATATCAATTTTAGATTTTTCTAGGTTATGTGATTAATTAAAACAGATTTCAGTGGCGAAAAAACTATAAAAACGTCCATTTTTGTGCCTAAACTTGAAAGATTTTCCTTTGTCTCCAAAGTTGAATATTTTAAGGGTTTTAAAATTACAATTCCAGAATTTTTCTGTTGAAAAACAGTGCCAAAATCAAACATAACCTTAAAAAATGCACAATTTGACGTATTTGACAAATTATTTATGTCTATTTGGAGTTCATTATCTCTAGATTCTCTCTAGAATACGGTTTTGAAATAGATTTCTGAGCCATCAACTAATATTCAGGGGGTTAAAATCAAAATAGAATCAATTTCTCAAGATACATTGAGTAAGTGACTGAAAGTGGTGTACAAGACGTCTTATCTCCCCCTTGGGCAGGTCAGAATTGTGCCATTTGCCCAGTGATTCAACGGATTCAACCATGTAAGAAGCGCGCAATTCACGCTTTTGGCATTAGCTTTTGATCTTTGATGCTTTCTTTTCAAGATCCTCAAAAGCCATAAAAGAGTTGAAAGATCAATTTAAATAATCTCCATCGCATTTCAGTGGCCGAAAAGCACTTTTTGATTGAGTCTTCTTGCGACACGAAATGATCGTTAAAAATGCAAGATGAAGAAATGCAGCGAGAGAAATATAGAAAGACTTTTATTATGCCATTTCGAAAAGCAGTCGAATTTATAGGGCATTTTTTTCCAAAGCCGCCCAATTAAGGAAAATGCAAGAATTTGGAAATTGCGGAATGCTTTAAGCCCTCTTTAAGTCTTGCTGTACTTGAATTGGCTGCTTTTTAAGCAATTTCCTGCTCAGACATTTTCTCATTTTCTCTCATATTTCCCATATCAAAGTGCCATTTTATTCTCTCTTTATGCACACAAAGTGCCGAAGCAATTGTGAAAGAATGAAAAAAAAATGACTCAAGTCACGTTAGAGACAATATTCTCAGAAGAGAGAGAGAAAGAGATTCAATGGGTATTTTTGGGTAAGAATTTCATCAGGATTGCGACAAAAGCTTCATAATCTATTAGGCTTAATTATCGAGATTAAGACAGGTGATTTCTGTCTCAATTGCTCAGGTTTTTGCAGAGACTGCAAAATGGCTGAGAGTTGATGGAAAAACGACTCTTTTTGCAGTGTGATTTTGGGTCAAGAAAGGTCATTAACGTTTGACTGTGTTTTCTTGCAAGAATTGCAGTGATTGGCACAAAAGTCTCTAAGATATGAGATCAACAACTTTGCCATTCACTTTGCTGGATTCACTTCACTTCTTTCCCGGCCATCGAGAGTGATTTTCGCCCACGAAGAAGTCTTCCAAATGAAAGTGAAATTTCACTGAAAGCGCGCACTCGCGCGGGAAAATGCGCAGACACGAAAAGTGGGTAAGTGGATCAAGATCATTGTGAATTTCTTGTCCCATTCTTCATCTCGCGATGGCGCATTTTTCACCTCCCACTCGCGCGCGCCCAGGTGAGGCGCAAACACACATTAAGCCGCGCACTTTCCCGCGCACACACACTCTTGGCGAAGAAGAAGTGTTGCGCAATGCTCAGTGATCTCTAATCGTGTGCGCGGCATCCGAACAGACCAATTAATCTCACTGGTAAACCACTTTTGCGCCAACACTTCCGGGCAGAGTCGCTCTTTTCCTGCTCAGCACGATCAAAAGACTCACCCTTGTGACTCTTCTCGGACTCCTTTGGCGCCCCGGCCGCGGACTTTGGCGCATTCTTGGCCACGCGACTGCCTTTACCGACGAGCTCAGCTGTACCATTTGTACTTGCACACGATGTTATGCAAACCACGGCGAGCAGCAGCGATGCAGAGAGAAGCCAAGACACTTTCATATTTGCCAAGGAGAGTTAAGTGGCGCTTTGAGGCCACTTTGTGGATCCTTTTGTTGGGCACAAGAGACAACAAACACCACCGCGGACGCGTGCTGGCGCGAGAAAGGCCAGAGCTTGACTGCCGAGAGGCGCCAAGACGGTCTTCGGTGTCTTTTATGCGATGGTGTGCAATTGCGGAGTGAATGGCAAGAGCGGGGAATGCATTTGCGCGTTATGTGAGTCGCATTGGCGCGATAAACACTAATTAGCAGTGCTGGATGCTGGGCGAAGATCAGTCATGTAACTGGGAAGATCTTCTAATGAGATCTCGCCGTCATAATTCACGTCGTCGTTTGATTGATTTCTGCTAATCACTGTGATCAAATATGCGAATAAGCTGGATCAATTCAACCGCTTAGATTTGGAGTGTTTAAAGTGCAAGTTTAATTGGTAAATCATGACTTGTTATAAAAGATGTTTGCGACATTATAAGCTTAGATTTCAGTCTTGAAACATCACAAATCATACTAAACTGTTAATATTGATGAATTCTAATGATTTTTTTATAACTTTCATTTGTAATGTAAAACCAACTCAAGGAATCTGTGCAACTTTACTTTCATTACATTTTAAATAAGCTGTCAAAATTCTTAATTCTTAAAACTGTCAAAAGTTAGCGCTGGAAGTCAATTCATATATTTTATCGAATATTCATGTGAAAAGCAATGAAAATGACAGTAATGACGTTTTCAGGTTGATAAGTAAAGATTGAGAGGATTTATGATACATTTCAATGCACTAATTTGAGGTTATGTGTTCCCGGACATTCTCTGATCCTTTTCAAGGAAACTAATTGATGGATTTCAGAAGCATTTAATTTATTGCGCTTGTATTTAACACTAGAAGCCGTTAATATAAGCTATGAAAAGCGCAAACTTTTAGGAAATCTAATACGAAATCTGTAAAGTTGCAACGACTCCTGAGATCTGTCGAAAAATGCATAAAACGAAAGCTCGATTTCCTAAATTTTGGCTATAAAACTGCCCCAATTTTCATAACAATCTCATTGATATTCAGACACTGAACTCTTGCTGCAAATAGAGTTGAATTGCGAATGATTGCCAACGATTAATTAATTCAAATGCATGTTTTCCGCTCAGACACGCCATCTGTGGGCAAAATGTGTGTTGAATCACTGGACAAAAGAGCGCAAAGACGCAAACGCGAGTTGAAAAGTTCACTCGATTCTCTCACAGAGTGAAGTGAAAATTCGTGAGAGGAGATTTTGCCGCCTTTGCTCAACTCTCTCACGGGAAGGTTTCTTTTGGGCGCGCAAAAGAAGGTTGGAATAAGGCAAATACAACAATCGAGCATGTTTCTAAGTAGAAAAACAATTTTTTTTTACTTGTCTCTCCTGCGTTGGGGCAAAAGGAAGAGTCGCACTACCAGCTTTTGTGCGAATGGGTTGCAAGGAAAAAAGAAAAGATCGCGAATGGTGAACATAGCAAGATAGTTCTTGTACAGAGAGTGTTAAGAGGCAAATATTTGATCCCATAAGAGTCTCAGAGGCTTTTTTCTTTGCTCAGCCACAACACCTCAAAATCACACAAATGAGAATTACCAGAGGTTTAATTCCTCCGGCGTGTGTAATTGAGAAGGTGACAATTTTTGCCATTCCAAGCTCAGCGAGTCTTTTTTTGCTTCACGGTCGCGATGCTGTGTGTAAATTAATTTCCTTCCAGGTGGATTAAATTGCATGTCACAAGAGGTGGAATCGCTTTGGCGCGGGCAGAGAAAAAAATGGGGAGAGAGATGAAGAGAGGAAATGATGTGGAATGACTAAAATGGCAAATTATATCCTCTTTAGTGTGATATATAGAGATGTGTGTCCATCTTCAGCCGTCAATTTGCCCATCAATCAAGCCCATAAATATTGCAATTATGCAATTTGAGATGAATACAGCTATTTTAGCACCATAAATTCAATCAATTTACCCACACAGAGTGGCACCAAAAAAACGCCACGATCATCGCGAGTCCCGCATGTCAAGAAAACTTTTTCTCTTTCTCACCACAAAATCTCACAAACGAGGACCTGTTTTACTTTTATTCTCCTCGCCATGTCGATTAATCCCCGAAATGCATTTATGGAAATGCGACCAAATTGAGTCTTTTGCGTCTCCCACAGATTTGTTCTTTGCCGAGCGCATATTTTTTGCTCGCGCCACAAGAACATTTCAGATGCGATCTGCATCTCTTTTGGATGCCCAAAAAGAGATTGAACCGAGGCTGAATGGAGAAAAAGAAGAAGAAGGAAGTCTCTCAGGCCACCAAACAGAATATTCTGATCACTTCTAGGTATTTCTCTGCGATAAGAATCTCAATATTTGTGCCTTCTTTTGCTCTTGCTGTAATTGTCATTGCTGAAGATCATCAGATTGATCTGCAAATGCTTCGCTCTTCAGCGATATTTGTCTGGATTGCTTTTTTATCGATTCTGTCTGGGGAATTTTGATTTTTTAGGGGTGGTTTTTGGAAGAACAAAGCTACAAATTGGTAGAAAACTTAGAAGAAAGATAAATTTTATGAGAAATCATCGATTAAAGTTGCATTTTGGCGATTTACTGAATTAGAATCAGTGAGTTTGACTCTTTTTAATTCACTTTTTAGCTTCATTTGCTTCTGGAGTTATCATATTTTCTTTTTCACGTTGAAGTGATTGAAGTTATCGATATTTACCGACACTTATCGTTACGAATTGCGTGCAATTTCCTATTTTTAGCACAATTTCGGGAGAGAAATAAGACAGAAGTGGATTAATTAGTTCTTAGCGTCATATTTCACTTGCTTCTTTTATCTTAAAGATTATCGACTATGAATTTTAACCAAGTTTAGGACTAATTAATCCGTATTAGTCCTATTTTTCCCCTAAAACTGTGTGAAAATAATAAGAATTCGCACGCATTTCATATCGATAAGTTCACTAAGACTCTAATTCTCTTAGACTCTCGATTACTCACTTAAAATCCAAAGATATTTAAAGAATCAATTTGTTTGTGAGAATTACAGCTGTTTTTGCTGAATCTGCTCACTTATTTGCAAAGCAATGCTGTAATGCGTCAGAAGCAGTAGAGGAAGAAGTGATATTTAACCAAATTCTTGCATTTTTACTGGCTAAAAGAGCATGTTTTGAAATTGAGAAGAAATGAGATTCGCATATTTTTATGCCGCGCACTTCTATATTTCATCTGAGGAGCGCCAGTTTGTGGAAGGGCAGAAAGAGTCATGAGGACGAGAGACATTCTAATTGGCATAAGTGACGCGTAAATTTTCAATTATCCCCGCGCGAAGTGGTTGCTGGGGCGCAAGAGGAGCAATTGAATTAGAGCCGAGGGAAGAAGATGCATGGGGAGCGATAGGGAGAGAGAGTGAGACCGTGAAGACCGTAAAACAATGTCGTCAATCTCCCTGACGGCTATCATCCGCGACAGACGCGGGGAGGGTGGGGGGATGGGGCGCATAGGTAATCTAAATAAAAGGTGTACACCGAGTGCGGAGTCAAAATATTGATGGGCAGAGGTGAGTCCCATAAAGCAGAGGCAAGAAGCCAGAGCCACGTCCACATCGATTTATGTCAACCCTACGCCGCGGGAGCCAAAGGAGGAGACACAGAGAAGTCTCTGGGCGGGAGAGGAGGAAGACATCCAAATATTTGGGCTCTTGATCCATTGAGGGCCGCATGATTCCTGACACCGCGTGATTGACGGCACTTTGTCAATCGTCCGTCAATCAAATTTCCCGCGCTTCTCTCCACAATCTGTTTATTATAATTTTACGACGTCGATGACGATTACGCGATCAATTGATGGGAATCCGCGATGTCATGAATTAGGCGTGAGACTTCTTATGGGAGATAAAAATTGAGTTATATTGTCTCGAAGACGAACAACTTCTTGTGGACATTTGTAATTATGGGAAAATTGACGGTTTGCTAAAGTGTTTTTCAAACTTTGGAAATTCTAAGAAATTGCTCATTTTTATTGTGAAGAATTGCGATAGTTGATGAAATTTTACTATCTTTGAAAAATTGCCTTTTAAATAGATTCATTTCTATAAATCTAAATTCAAGAATAATTAGGAAAAGACTGTGAAATTTTAGAAATTCCACGAAGAAAATGATTTTTTTATTGAATTTTCTAGTCTTTCACCAATTTTCCCATTCCTTGGAATTTTCCTTTTAATCAGCAATTGAAAATTACCTCACCATCTTTCTTTGGGCAAATAAATTTTGGCGAACAGAAGAATTGCAAGTGCTTGAGAAGTCGACTGAAAATTCTTTTCAGCTGCGGAGAAGCGCGCAATGTAAAGAATCCATCTTGCGAGAGAGAGAGACTTTTGCCTTTCTGACTTTCAGCACAGCGAGATTTGCATCCCGTGCTGAACAAACAAACAACTCCTTCGGGTTTTTTGAGAGAAGAGGAGCACCTTACAAGGCTGACAATATGACAATAGGATGTCGTGGCGGTGATTTATACTCGCCAGAAGGCCTTCTTCTTTTCCGAACTGCCTCGTCGCGCGGGAACATTGTATCGGCGAGAGCACAAATGAGGGAATTTTTCGGGGGAACATCAAGTACAGCATCTTTCAAGCAAGATGAATATCTCTCTTTGATGCACTCAAGGAGCCACTGTTGGCCGACTGAAAGGGGGGTGAAAGGGGGCTTCGCTGAGGCGCTGTTTTTAATGAAATTCTAATGAGAGGCAAAATGCAAACACATTGTTCATCGCGGAGTTGAGCAATTGAAGAACTGTTTGTGTGTGAATAAATTCAGATTTTCCCCATTTAATAGCCCAGTAAAAGTCACCTGAAATTTTATTAGCCCCTTCGTCTGGTCGTTTATCTTGGTCGGAAGTTCCCATAAAGTTGTTGGACAAACTTCAGCAGATGCTTGTAAAAATGGGATCTTGAGGTGACAGGCGAAGAAAACGCACCGGGTCGCCTCTTCTCGGTTGTTTTGACTAATTTATTGAGAGTCAATGACCATTCTGGGTGAGAGGAAGAGGCCAGAGAGAGAATAAAAAAAAGGGTGAAGGAATTCCCTTGTTGGGTTGTTATGGAAAAAAAAAGCACAGATCGATT